ATGACACCGTTCTGACTTTCATTCCCATAATCCTATTGACATCTATTTCCACATAAAGTCCCAATGACGTGAAATTCAGAAGTTCAATAGCTTAAAAGGTCGTGACGCTGAAGGTGACACGTGTTTTGCCCAGCTGAATCATAACGTAACAACAAACATTAATCGTAACCTAGCAACGGTAACATCAGTCGTAGCGTAGGAACACTTATTTGAATCGTAACTTTACACGACGAATTGAAAACAAAAATGGCAGGAAGACTTAGGTACCCCAGTTCATTTCACCTTAGGAGTAACATTCTTAACGACAACCTACCCCCCCCCCCCTCCCCAGGTAGCGTTAGTGTTTAACTATCAGGTGAAGTTGGGGTGTATAGTCCTCACGTGATGAAACTAATATACTTTTTTTAGGAGGGGGTTAGTTACTTTTTGTACATACATTGCATCTACTATGTGAACACAATAAAATACGCGAGAAGTGACTGAAAATTCCGCCACAAATAGCAGTCGTTTCTGTTTTGATCGAGGATTTATCTGCTATCGTCCACCCCCCGCACCACCACCTCTGCCATCCTCTTCCCCTCCAAGGAAAACCGAGTCACACAGCGTTAGGAAATATGATCACAAAAAGCACTGTATCCTGGTGGACATCAAGACTTTCTCTTATTAACAAGTAGCCAAGAGGTAAAGTTATTGTTCTAGGTGACGCAGCGGATTCTGGTGGCTAGCCTACTCATACACCTCTTGCCTCACAGTACAGGACCAGGTAGGTATTCCAAGCTCTGTGGGCGACTGAGTTATTCACCAGTGTACGGCAGTCAAGTTAGCGAGCTAAAAGTGCAGGCTAATGTAAGGTAACACAAGCTAAGGAGACAAACTGAGTAAGCTAACTCAAGCTAAGAAAACAAACTAGGAATAGCTATGCAAGATAACTCAAACCAAGGACATAAACTATATACTAGGAAGTGATGTCAGAAGAGACCGAACTTAGCCTGTGCGTGTATGTGTATGGACGTTCTAATAAAACTGACTGATATAAACGCCAAAACGACGAGAGTAGCGTACAGGTGACAACAGCGTATACACTGATGAACTCATGACAGGAAGCCACTCTAACATATCATTTAATCTTAACAAGGCCCTGCTGTTATCTCGAGGCACCAACAATCATAACATAAATAACCACATTAAAAAAAAAACTAAGAGCGGAAGAAAATCACAGCGAAAGCGACAATCACACAGACAAATTAACAAAAAAAAACAGCGTCAGTATCAATAATCACAGTGCCAGGTACAAAGACTCCATTAACTATAATCACAGCGGCATGAATTGCGTGGGGGTGATGATGTAGAATGAATGTGGTCGAGGGGGGTAAAGATGGTGTGGGGGAGGGTGGGGCGTAGGTGTGGATGCAAAGAAAGGTGTGGGTGCAGGGGGGGGGTGTGTGGTGCCGTCGGCGTTGTGCAGTGATGGAAATAAGTGAATGACAAGATGAGGAAGCGTTGCCGTCACGAGTTAGGTGGGGTAGGGGGGTGGGAAGGCACGTGCGGTGAGGGGGGAGGGGGGACGTGAGGTGAGGGAGATGTGCAGTGAAGGGGTACATGCAGAGTGGAGGAGGAGGCGTGGAGAGGAGGCACGTGCGGTGAGGGGAGACACGTTGGAGGGGAGGTAGTTTTCATTGTGGTGAGTGCAGTTGGTAGACAGACGCAGGACGTCCAGCTGGTGCACACTCCATCACCAGCTGACGCGCATCGCAGGGGGTCTATACACTTACCTTCTTACTTTCCATCAATCGTCACTCCTTTCTCCTCCTCCATCTCCTTTACAATCTTAGAATGTATTCATCGAATCGTTTTTTTAACATGAAATATGATCAGTATAAACGACGGGTTCTCGATAAATCTCGTGAATTAAGTTCGACAATCTTAAGAGTGTTACCGAATGTTCCTACATCTTGATGAATCGTGTGCAGTGGTTTTAACTGTAGGGACGTCTTGAAAGCAACATTCTCGTCTCGTAAGGCATCGTTTGTAAAATTTCGACCTAATAAAGTCGTGTTATATGTCGGGATGCCTGTTTGTGTGGCAAAGAACTGTAAAATATTGTGTCATGTAGTCAAAGTGTAAAGTCCTACTGGCGCATATATACCATTCTGTTTGGTGATGTATTGCACTTTCTTCACAGATCGTCACGTTGGTGTGTTCCTCTGTGTTTACTTGTGTGTCTTGAAAAGGTGTTTCCTCATGTACGTGAAACTGTAAGCTGCATGTACTGTATGTGTTGGTGTACACGTGTGAGACTGCCTAATCGTCTTTCTGCCTGTCTGTCTGGTAGCTGCATCTTGTAGACAGGATTAGCCAATAAGCATTAATATAGATTTTACTTAATCAGGGTCATCCTAAGTTGGCTGGGTTAATATTACTTGCAGTATAATAAAGTTTAACAGCACGATGTACGTAGTAGCTCATATCACTGAAGGAACTTATATGTAAATAAAAATTTGCATTTTAGTCGTTTCGCTTTTTCACTACAAACTGATGTGTGTGTGTGTGTGTGTGTGTGTGTGTGTGTGTGCGCGCGCGCTCCTCGAGAAAGTGGCGGGGTCTTCCCTGCCTGCAGCACCAACACTACGGACTTTCACTAACACACCACCTATACTGGGCCACTCTCAATTCCCCCCGTGTGTTGGGTGCTCTTTATCGACTCTCACGGCCAGTCATATAGGGAACAAGCTGGTGAGGGGAGGCAAGGGGGCTATAAATATCAGCTGCCTATGATAATTGTGACGTGTGGATGACGTGTTTGTTATTATGTGCATAAGAGCTTAACCCTATATATTATTGTACATACCCGCATCGTTCATCACAAAAATATAAACAACCTCCGATACCGATCCTTATGCCTAGTACTGGATTAATCAGACCAATAATCCACACGCAGCATCTTCCTGTGTTTACGGAGTTCAAAGTGTATATACTGGTAGTCCTGACCTGATTTTTTTTAATATGATGTAACGCAGCCAATGATTGAGTCTTGTTATTCAATGCATGACTGTATTACAATAAATAATAATAATAATCCTGGTACTTATACCCTTAAATGAACTGTGATATTTCTTTTTATAATTTGAAGAGAAAAATATCGAGCTATTATCGGTTTATTTAATTAATCATTTATTATTATTATTTTCATCAGTTATCACTACTTCTGCTAATACTACGATTATCTCTTTACCAGTTAACATTAATTACTATCGCTAAATAAGCTTTACTGTCATATTAAGGTGTAATATTAATTAAAGAAATCCATTCTCACAATTATCTTATCAAGCTTAATACGTAAGAGCGTATATACAAAAAAAAAATCATCACCGAATGCTGCTGCTCCTCCAAACCCGTAAAACCTTCAAGAAACCAAAGCAACAGATTCCCCCCCCCCCCTCTGCCTAGACGGACATCCACGTTTCCAAACTTCAAAATGTCTTAATTCTAATGAACCCAACTTTAAGGAGGCAACAGTTTACACAATAGAGGAACTTAAAGATGAAATTTTACACTAATACTCCTGTGGCATTAGTTTTTATTTTTTACAAGGAATAACACACATGCACACGCCCACACATACGTACGCAAACACACACGAGAGCGCATATGAACACAAACACACGCAAACACATACAACACACAGGCGAAGAAAAAGAGAGAAGACAAAAAACGCAACTATCTAAATACTCAAACGCCTGCCAATATATCTTCCTCGGCCCGTTTCCTCTAGAGCAGTGTGACAGCGACGCAGGTGTTACATTATTCACTGAACGGCCACGTCTTAAACTCACTCCCACACCCTGAACCCTTGACGCTGGAAATAACGTAGTCATGTAACAGTGATGAGCTTAACTTTATGTACAGTACTTTGTGATAGAGAGTAATTCTATGTGTCAGGACAATTTACTCGTCTGACCTACTTAATGATCATAAATGTATTAGCATAATTAGATCAAATTAACTAGTACTGTCAAATATGATTACGTTAAGTGTTCGAGGTGTTGGGGATATGTTAATGTGTTTTAGATCTCTCAAGGAATGGGTGACAAGGATTCCACTCTTGGGACAGCGAGCGACGACCTCAACGACTGAAGGCCGAACTACTAGCGAGAATAAACTTTCGTGACAACTTACTGTCATATCTATCACACTGTCACTGGACTGTACTTCCTGCACAGAAAGTTTGGTCTACTGGCTCGTTAGCAAGATCTCTAGAGGTGCACTGAATACTGTTTTTGTCTCTTCCGTCTTCCCGAGTGTAAGGACCACCTCAACCTCCAACACCTTACTGCACCACCTCAACCTCCAACACCTCGCTACAACTCCACGCCCACATCACGTCATTAAAGTCTTCATCGGTAGTTCTATCACCATGAAAGGTGAAAGTAAAGTACGTCCCATAGTAAGTTATTAATCAAGCCGTGAGAACTCTTCCCTCTGGGTGGCGTCCGAGTACATGTCTGAACACGTTTATTCATGTCCCCTACGAGGTAATAACACGTAACCTGTGACCTTGTTTTCTCGTGTAGTTTCAAGAAAGAAAAAGTATCAGATTAATTTGAAATAGTTTCTTCAGACTTTAACGTAAAAGGCTCCGATTTTGTAGGATATTTATGTTTACTTTATTCCTGTACAGGCAGTAGGTCCTCAGTTACTGCACAGTGTACTAGTGAAGCCACTCACAACCGTATCGCTTCTCCATGTATGCTGTATGTTTTGTATAAAGAAAAACAATGTAGTATTACTCCTCTGATAAACAACATCACACGACCACTTGGTCACACTTGCTATGAACACAACATCAGCTGAGGTCGCTCACACACGCTTACTAGTTTGCTTCATTACATTTGTTTAGTTTTCCAATTTTCAGAGAACCATCATTCACGACATTGATAACTATCAGATATATGGCAGTTTTTCCATCGTCCCTCATACCAGACATATGCTTGAGCACTTACCATCTGATGGCATGGCTGCGGCTAAAGCTGCAATGAGCAGCAGACAACACGTTACCCTGACCATCCCTGCGGTCTTTACTGCTCGACTGACACGTGCAACACTACCAACCCGCCTTATATATACTCCCACAGAGCTCGGGCTTTCTCCCACCGCGCGACAGATGGAGGCAGCGAATTTTAAAGCTTTGCTGTTATCGATTCTAAATCGTTTTGAAAGGAGACAATGTGTAGTGTTGTCATTGTTTATGAAGACACTGTTCATGAGTCGTGTATAAAACTATATTCAAGAAATGGTGCTGAACGAAACAGATTACATTCATGAACTTCTACTGGGGCGCGAAGTTGCCTTTTGTCGATATTTCCGTGATGGCTATTTTAGAGTAAATTTAGAATATGTAGATAAAATGTGCAAATACACGCCAGGCGTTTAGTAAAAAAAATAAAAATAACGTTGCCGACGGTATCGATGCAGGCCAAAATCAGGGTTGTAAGTTGTAACAAAAAGACAGGCTAGAGAGAGATAAGCCATTGACTGGTACGCGCTAGTCACCTGATCCTGTTATCATGAAATCAGAAACGCATTGAGCCTAGTGTCCAATAGTTACGCTGTCTAATATAACAGACAATCATGAAACACATCACACAACTTCCATTTCAGTGAGACTCCAGCACCAGTATCGCGGTGTACAAAGCCTCACGTACAGCACCATAGGACTCTTGACCTCAGTTGGGGAAAATCACAGCCGGAGGAAACACCCCCACCGTGGTAGTAGTATCTTACAGGGAACTATCAGATGCATATCATTACCCGCATCGCTGGAGAATCAATACAACATAAATTTTCAATCAAATACTTTCTGTGGACTCTTACCATCTTGCACGACTAAACTCACAGGTTGTGCATTTCGGGTTTTTATATTGTCTTGCAGTATAAACTATATTTCAATAATGTGAAATTATTATCGTACACTATAAAACACTAACACTATAATTAGGCATTCAATAAAGTATAATACGAAAAATCAATGTTACGATTTAAACAAACAAAATGGTATCTTGGATGCGATGATGGCACCAATTTGGCACCTTGATTAATGGAGGGGAGGAGCGTATAGAACTTGCTAGCTGGCCAGATCCGCGCTGTTCTGGCATCCCCGCTCTAGACATAGGTAAAAATTGTAACGTACTTTTAAACATTTTTGAAACATTAGTTTTTTAACATCTTCATACTATGTTTAATCAACTAATAATATTTATGGTTACATCTTTATACACTAAATCTAAACGGTTAAATGTTAGCAAAGTTACGAACCTGAGTCTTTCTAAATCTTTAATACCAGTTTAATTGGCGGTAACTTGATAGAAATTTAATCTACTGATACTGAAAATGTACAAATATATTAGTAGTAAGTTCACTGTCATGCCGCCGTGAATTAATTGAATAAAAAGAAAAATATAAAGAGTAAACAAAATAGTTTTTGCCATAGCATTTGGTTATTAATGTGTCTAAATTGCACTTATCCTTACTAAAAAACAATGCCCAGGATATCGGCCGGACAAGCAACCAACCGAGCCCCGGGACAAGCTACCGGTTGGTAGCCAGGCTGCTAGGTGTATTTTTTTTTTTTTTAAGTTTATTTGTGTATTTTATCTGTGTATATTACAGGTGATGATAATCTAGCAGAGTAGCTACTGAGGATCACCTTGAGCTTCAGATGACACCAGAATGGGGAGGTGGCGGGGCGGGGCACAATACTATACTGTACGGTACTTGTAAACTAATATGTCAGCAATGAGGACAGATCACGTCATGTGAGCTCACATCTATGTGTAGTAAACTTTGGTGATAATAAATGTGATTATTTTCCCCATTGGCTATATCCCGTACACGTCTTGTAGGTTGAGGCTTCAGCGACAATTGCGTGCAGACTACAGCTTTGGTACATCAGTAATGCTTAATGATAAACAGTGTATTACATGTTGAAGACTTGCACATTCTTACACAAGGCTTAACAGTTCACACCAGCAGTGCAACTCACGCAGGACCTACGGTTGACCTACAGTCCAGTCACAACAAGACGATCGCGCCTCCACGCGTTGGTGGAAAGAGCGTCAATTATGCGGTATGAACAAACAATGGTGGTGGAGTGGCGGGAGATTTTGGGCGAAGTTTTGATTTTGACTGTACGTACAGTAGACGGGGATAATGCCCACCAACTTTTACTACTTTGTTCGCTTTAAATCTTTGGCATCAGATGAAATTATCATCGTGAGAACCAAGGCCAAATACTGTATGTGTTCCCGAGAATGATCTTACGTGAATGGAAAATGTCAAATAAATTCTGTGAAGAACAACGAGTGGAGACAATCAAAGGAATTTCACTAAAATATCAAAAAGTTTCCAGTAAACAGTTTGTATCCCTTTTGCTGACAGGTGCATTCAGTTGTTCCTCTAGTAATACAACTAAGAACGTGTTTATTGTAGATTACCGTTACTTCCTGCTACCTCACTGTTTTCACCCGGGCCAGCTGACGTCCCTCCCTCGTTGCCAAGCGGGAAGTGACGCAGCACCCGACCCAAAGCCTGTGATGGGCACTTACGGGCATTATACCCCAGCACATGAGCTAGCACTCTTGAAAAGATTGTACGTAAATTTTAGTACCGCATTCCTACCATTAGAACCGCCCCTTACCATTAGTACCGGCTTCCTACCATGATGTACGGGTGGGCTTAGGTGGGAGTGAGGTTGGGTGAGGTGAGAGGGGGTGGAGATGGGGTTAGGTGAGAGTAGGGGTGAAGGTGGGGCTAGGTGGGGTGGGGGTTGAGGGGAAACAGCTATTATAGGCTCTGTGGTTAAAGCTTTCTATGAGGGAGAAACAGAACTTCTAAGTCTCGGCAATTTCTAATAAAAGAAAGTCACAAGCGATGTTGTTGCCTTAAGACCCGCGGCCTCCCTTACCACTCTCGTTACTACCACCACCCCTACCACCATTGTTACTACCACCCCTACCACCATCGTTACTACCACCCCTACCACCATCGCTACTACCACCCCTACCACCATCGCTACTACCACCCCTACCACCATCGCTACTACCACCCCTACCACCATCGTACACAGTGAGACATTTCTTACGCCTTACTTTCCTCCCTTTTTTCTACCTGTCTCGTTAATCGCTCTTGTTCTCAGCGCCACCCCCCCCCCCACGCCCCCTCATATACACACACACCTGCTTACGTTCCCACACACTAGCTTATGTATATTGTCACACAACTGCGCACGTACACTCACATACACCTGATTACATATACATACACACTTACTTATGCACACATACACATACCTGCTTATGTACACACACACACACACACACACACACACAAAATAGACTAATTCAAAATCATAAATTCAAGTTAAAAGAAGCTGATGAATTAAGCAAAGGCAACAATCTTAAACATTATTTTATGAAGGCTTCTACACACTCCTATTCGAAACTGTACATAACCTAATTGAGATACCACAGCAGACGCCATCTATGGGTAGAGAGGCAGTTCAGTGACACCATGCCAACAGTTCGAAGCTTCTGAATCTCACGCTGGTAAAGTAGTCGTGTTCATGACTATATTGATGGACGAAAGAGAAATCGCTCAAATTCCATACTCCTAGAATATATTTTAGTGTGTGTTCACATGAATATCCAATAAAAATAATATCGCACTTTCGCTCTGAATTTCTATATTCACTCAAAACTTTTACCCTGGTGAAAGTTCTTTAGTTATTGGTTTATTTATTTCCCTAAAGCTTCATTTTCGCCCATTTTCTTTTAACATGAATGACCCAAAATACAAAAGGTGTCTTATTTTACTTATTTAAACTCCAAATGTGTCCCTACTCCTCCCCCGTGATGAGGTGTGTGTGTTGAAGTTAAAGGCGTGGTCAGATGTGTTTTAAGACAGACTAAAGAACCATTACTGAACCAACATTAACGTTTATTTATAATTGTATGCAGTTTAACCTCCACTTAGTTGTTCTCGACTCCCAACTGTCATTTTATTCAAGCAAGATGACTACGTTAGTTATATCTACTGCGAAATCAGACGAGTAGGAAAAATAGTGGAAAATACGCCTAGAAAATGTAAAAAAGCTGCATAAACACACAATAGGAAACGTAGAGTGCTGGAAGGCGAGAGAGAAACCTTCCGTGTGTGTGTTGACAACAGCTGTATCACGGGAAAAGCAGTCGTGTCCGGGTTGTGTAATCCATCGTTTTATAATAATTATTACATTTATAGTATAATTAAGTTCATAATGAAACGTTATTTCGTTCCAGAAGAATAATGTTATGCGCAGAAATTCACAAACTAATTGAAAATATGCAATGTAACACGGTGACAGTTTTGGTGCTAAAACACCACAATTGTGAGGCACTTCATGTCAGGTTTAACGTTTTAACAATACTGTACGTTACTTTCACTTGACATGAAGTTACCATCGTGGAATTTATCCCTTGTAACTTTTTTTTTTCACCGCCTCCGTCAACAGATATGGCGATGTTTACTGTATATGAGTAGTGTGTTGAGGAGACGAGGCTCTTTAATGGCGAGAGTTGTTTGTTTACATTAGTGTTGACATCTTCGTGGGTTCCGTTGTTGTCTCGCTCTGACGCCCCCTTCCCCCACACAAACACACGCTCTCTCTTTCTCTCTTGTGTTTGAAGATACAGATACACTTACGTACATTCACATTTCCTGATACACTAAAATATTTCCAATCTAATATTTAGTTGTTCCCTCAAACACCCAGACACAAACACGACCACGCAGTCTTGAATAACTCGCATCTCAGGATTCTCACACACACACACACACACACACACACAACAATTCTCATTTACTACATACATATATAAATACATAAAAATAATCCCTCGCGCTACTCGGGGTTGCACATATTCCTCACGTCTCCACGAACCCGAATCCTCTGAATCACGAACCCGCGGCTGTACACGACACTTAGTAAGGGCTACTCCATATGGCTCCTCACCCGTGTTCAATTGATGCTGTAAATTATTATTTTTTTTTACATTCCAAAGCAACT